TTCCATATAATCAATGCAAATTTTACATTTTCTAATTATTTTAAAAATAAAAGTTTAATTTTACAACTTACAAAACTTAATAATTATTAAAAAAAATATAGATTTAGCATTTTAAATAACATTATGCATTAGAACAAAAATAAAAATAACATATAATAATTTTTTATATTAAATATACAATTAACATTAGCATTTACATTAGAGATGGTCTACGAGAACACATGTTGCATTCTTGATCCCTTTGAAGAAAATTCTTCGACCAAAAACGAGACGCGCAATTTCTGCTGATTTCCCTGTTCCAATATGCAATTACCCCAAAAGAGATCGACATGGCTTGCTTTTCCAAGAAAAAACCATTCAAAAACCATCACAAGTTTCCTATTTACGAAAAAAAACCCGCCATATATATTGGCTAGTTCAATAAATATCAAAATAAAAAAAATGAAAAAAAAAGAACAATGTGAGGACAAAATAAGAAAAAGAAAAAGAAAAGTCACGTGAAATATTCAATGTCATTAAACTTGTACCAGTGAATACCGATCTTAGAATAAAATGCTTAGGACACACGGCATAAAACATGGTTCCGATTCCTATGGCATGTTTTTTATTCAATTTGTCCCCATGTAGTTCCAAAAAAGCCTTCGTGAAAAGCATATTGCTAGGATATAAAAATTCTGGCAGTAATTATCAGTCGAAGAATTTTTGTTTCTAATTGCTCGCCGCTCGGTATTCTGTTCTTCTGCATCATCATTTTTGTGCAGACAAGTTGATAGAGCACGTCCTTTGATTCTGATTTATTCATGCCTCAGATTTTTACCCCACGCCCGTTTTGCCTTTGGAAGGCCTATGTCAAGTGCTTCCATGTCTAGAATATAGCTCAAATAGCTTTCATTGGGAATGGGAAAAATGTTAAGAAAATAGGGAGACCTTGACTTTATATGAGAGTTTTTTACTATAGTAAAAGTTAAATGTGACTGTTTTTGAGAATTTTTTACTGTAATAAAACTCAAATTTTAAACTTGGCGGGCCAGTCGGAGAGGAGCGTAGACGGTGGGCTTTCGCCGGATGTCCAAGCCTGCGTCTTCTTCGGTCGGAGAAGAGAGAGAAGAAAAAAAAATTGAAATCCGTTTTCAGAAAACGAAAACGTGAAAATGAAAACGTCTTTTTTTCGTTTTCAGTTTTTCAAAAAAGACAAAAACGTTTTTGTTTTTGTTTTTTAAACATTTTTACACCAAACGCATTTGCATTTTATGTTTCCGTTTTCATTTTTTAGTCTCGAAAAATGTGAAAAATGAAAATGAAAACAGAAACAAACAGGGCCACCGTTTTCATTTTTTTTTTTTTATTTTTTTACTCGAGGTCAGGCCTTTAAGAATTACGAACTCCTTGTTCTTTTCATAAATTTGAATTACAATATAACACTTTTGCTTTAGTGTTTTTCCCCCCACAAAAATTTAAATTTCATTTTAAATTTTCTATTCAAATTTATGAAAAAAAACACCCTTAAAGTACTAGAGGTTGGACATCGAATTGATGGAAAAAAAACACCCTTAAAGTACTCGAGGTTGGACATCGAATTGAAAGATTAACTTGACGTCAAACCTCAAGTCTTTCCATCTCAATCTCTTGATTCTCTATGGGTCAACCTTTGAGATATATCTCGGTCAACGTTATCTTGATGGTATTTCTTGAGTGCAATCTTGATCTTGTTGTAGTCCTTGGTGTTTCTCAAGGAGTTCGATATCCGAATACTAAGAATATTTTCAATGTAATATTATAATTAATGTGCAAATTACAAATTTAACATTTAAGTATAAAAAATACTCTCTAATGTAATATTATTTATCGTGTTAAATTTTTCACGTGTTATACTTTGTTGTAAATTTCCTACCAAGTATAACATATGTTTAATTTGACATTTGATTATTATTAGTTGAAATGTTTACTTTTTCCATATAATCAATGCAAATTTTACATTTTTTAATTATTTTTAAAATAAGAGTTTAATTTTACAACTTACAAAACTTAATAATTATTAAAAAAAATATAGATTTAGCATTTTAAATAACATTATGCATTAGAACAAAAATAAAAATAACATATAATAATTTTTTATATTAAATATACAATTAACATTAGCATTTACATTAGAGATGGTCTACGAGAACACATGTTGCATTCTTGATCCCTTTGAAGAAAATTCTTCGTTCAATAAATATCAAAATAAAAAAAATGAAAAAAAAAGAACAATGTGAGGACAAAATAAGAAAAAGAAAAAGAAAAGTCACGTGAAATATTCAATGTCATTAAACTTGTACCAGTGAATACCGATCTTAGAATAAAATGCTTAGGACACACGGCATAAAACATGGTTCCGATTCCTATGGCATGTTTTTTATTCAATTTGTCCCCATGTAGTTCCAAAAAAGCCTTCGTGAAAAGCATATTGCTAGGATATAAAAATTCTGGCAGTAATTATCAGTCGAAGAATTTTTGTTTCTAATTGCTCGCCGCTCGGTATTCTGTTCTTCTGCATCATCATTTTTGTGCAGACAAGTTGATAGAGCACGTCCTTTGATTCTGATTTATTCATGCCTCAGATTTTTACCCCACGCCCGTTTTGCCTTTGGAAGGCCTATGTCAAGTGCTTCCATGTCTAGAATATAGCTCAAATAGCTTTCATTGGGAATGGGAAAAATGTTAAGAAAATAGGGAGACCTTGACTTTATATGAGAGTTTTTTACTATAGTAAAAGTTAAATGTGACTGTTTTTGAGAATTTTTTACTGTAACAAAACTCAAATTTTAAATTCAAATCGGTAAAATGAATGAGACCATAGTTTATGAAAAATTATCATATTGGTAGTACACAATAGTTTTTGATGATCAAATTACATCGAAATCATATTAAATTAAATCAAAAAGAGAATTCTATAGTAGGGTATGAAAAATATTATGGAAAGAGAGATGCTCTTTTTATTAAAAAATTTTATGATAGGAAATAATTTTTGATGGTTAGATTACATCAAGATCATATTAAATTTAGAAAACTATAACAATTTAAATTTTTAATACAACATGGTGAAAATATGTCAAGTGGGTATACAGAATTCTGATCTTTTTCTCTCTTGTAAATCTTTTTACGACCCTTGGTCATGATTTGTCCATGTAAAATCCTGGTGTTCATAATTAATTGTTGACTTGTGTCTGGTTTGCACAATCTCTATCAGCCATAGGGATTTTTTTTTTTTTTAAATGCTTAGTTCTTTAATATTCTGAGGAGATTATCACTGAACCCATATCCCAACTTGCAATTTGCAAATGTTTTATATGAAACATCTTGATGACGATTGCAGTAATGACAGAGCAAGTTAGTGCCTTGCTAGTTGCTACAGTGACAAAAGGACCAATACCAGAGACAAGTAGCATGTATTTGTTTTTGGTCCCCCACAACCTTAAGCTGATAAATATAATAAGCCATAAGAAAGAAGGAAAAAAAAAAAAAAGAAAAGTAGCAGAAAGAAACGCAAGAATGCAATTTTATCAAGACTTGGGCATGTCTTTTCTCTTAGCCATTCTGTTACCAAACCCATTGGCTGATGTTAGGCCACCTAAACTTGTGTTACATGGAAATGGCTTTGTATGGACAGTGTAGTTGAGAAAAAAAAAAGGGCTATTTTTAAAGTGAAACACACATCACATTTTGGACCCCATAGCTTAGGGGGACCAGAATTCTAATCCAACCCTCTTCACTTCTTTCCTTCACATCAAAACAGGAAAAAAAAGAAAAAAAAGAAATCCTCAAAACTATTTTGAGAATAATACTATCTTGTTTAGTTTCAAATGTTATGACAAAAAATTATGATTATAGCATATTTTTTAGAATATGTTATATATCGGCATGCTTTTCATGCTCGGAACAGTGTGAAACGACATGTTGTTTGTTCATTTTCCTGGTGTGCGCCAGCATTCTTTGCGCAGTACAGAGATTTGCTGTGGAAATATGGGCACAACCGGAGCCTATGTGAATGATTGTGTTACAGAAATAGACTTCGAGTTTGTTCGTGAATGAGTAGTTGAAGAGGGGTCTACCATATACTGATTACTAAGGTGAAGCCAAAAATAGTTCAAGTCATGTGTCCCTCTTATTGCTCCATTCTCCATGGCATCAAAAGCTTTCCCTATTCACATGTATCTCAAATTTCAAAATGATCGGTTATTCTTCGATAAATATTCATCGCTCTGTATCGCGCTGTCGCTTTACTACACAGTACTAGAGATGGAAAGAAATCCTTGGTGTGAACTTGGAATTTGATTGATCCTTAACACAAATAATTAAGGTGACACATGACAGAATGTATTTAATTCTCCATTGGAGTCAATGAGATTTTGACAACTAGAATAGTTTGTTTAATGCTGTATTCTAATAATTCTATGCTTAAAAAGTTATTTATACTTGTTCTTTTGTTTTTCTTTTCTTTTTTCCTCTTCTTTTCCCCCTCATCAGTTAGGCTTGAGGGAGCTGATTTTTTATTTTATAGTGAGAAGGGTTTCTTATACGAAATATTTTTAACTTTTTGGCAACTGGGATTCTTTTTGTTTTACAGATCATGATATGAGCACAGGCTTTTTCTGATATAAAATCTTTTAGTAATGGACATGCAGGGATTTTGGCAGAGATATCCTTTTTTCCCATTCCAAATTTGTGACTACGTATCTTTTATTTGAGAGACTTCCCTAAATTTAAGATTACTTAACAAAATTCAAAATAAGGGAAAAGTAAAGGAATGTATACCAATGTTTATCTTCATTGGTTTGGTCTAATAAGGAAACAGAAAGATACCCATGAACTAGATGATCCTGATCTCATTTCACTGAATAAGAGATTTACATGTTTACAAGGAAAGGAGATTCTCTGAAATAGGTAGTTTCCTTCCCATAAAGATAAAGAAAGGACAAAATTTGTAGTGTGCATGTCCTTTTTCTTTATCTCTTTATCTCTTTTTTTTTTTTTTTTTTTTTTTTTTTTTTTTTTTTTTTTTTTTTTTTTTTTTTTATCCCTCTTCCTAGCTAAGGCCAGATTTTCCATGGCTAGATTCACAACAAAATTTACATTGTCATCAAAGAAATATGTTAGGGATAGTGACAAAGAACAAGTCGCTGGTGATCTTCACTTGTCACCTCTCATTCCCTTCGTTCCCATGTGATTCCCAAAAATTGTTCCTTTCTCAACTTTCCTCTTCTTGTCTCTTCCTCTTTTTTTTTTTTTTTCCTGCTTCTCTCCAAAGCAATATTGCTTCCTCAGATCATCAGTTTCCTGGAAAATAGCAGAGCTTTCAATAAGTGTTAAGAATTTCCTATAAGGATAACAAACACAAGAGCTAATAATATAACACCTTATAAACATGGTGTATACCTATAGATCTTTTGCAATGGAGAACAGCCTCATAAATTGAGCTATCAGAGTCACATGACTTTCTCCAATAATCATCTGCAGAATAAGCTACACTAATTCTTGGAGATGCGCTTTCGGAAGAGTACACCCGGTTCTTTCCTCCTTGAACCCTTTTCTCAACGTGTCCCGCCGCTTTAGAACCCGCCTTGTTGTGACCTCGAATTTTTCGATACAATGGCCTGAGAAAATTCAAGTACTTCTGAATTATCCTCCTTGACAATCTCCTACACCTTCTCAATGACGAACAATCAGAATTGCCGGCAGGGACACCGGTTATCGGGGAATGCGAGGAGTTGGGAAGGTTTTGAGTGGAAGTAGTACTTGAGGCCTCATACGCCTCCATCTTCAAAGGGTCAAGGAAGAGAGGCATGAGGTAGCCATTGGAGATGAGCTCATCAGCATGGACAAGACTTAGAGGAGACGGTGAAGTTGGGAAATCAAACTTGAAATCCTGGGAAATCCTCAAGAATCTCTTGGAAGGCGGCATTCGGGGGTCCATCTCGATGAACGAGGCTTCGTCGGACGCGTCGAGAGAGGTCCTAAGGGAGTTGTCAAGGCTTTCTAGAGATGGTTTCAGGTTAACCAACCAACTGTATGAGAAGCTCTCAATGGAAAGAGGCTGGGAAGTTTCCATGGATTTTTTTTTTTTTTTTTTTTTTCTCTCCTTTCTTCTTCTTGTTCTTACCTCTTTGTTAGTTTATGAAGAATGAGGGAAAGGAAGAAAAAGAAAAGTTGTGATATATACACTCTAAGAGGGAAGAGATACAAGGTGGGAAATAGCAAGGCTTGCTTAGGCCCCCTTCTCTGGTGAGAACGTATATCTAATGTATTTATGTACCATAATATCCTCTCTCACTCTGGCAAGAGACACTGAAATATTTGACAATTGAAAAAGGGAAAAAAGAGAAAAAAAAAAAAAAAAAAACATAAAATGCCAGTCCCCACAAGCATCCATGATGTACGGTTGCATCAGAAGTTAACCCCACTTCTCCTTTTGATCATGTTTCTTTTTAAAGGTTTAGGAAAATAATGATGATAATAATACATTTGCTTCTTAAATCTTTCTTATCTACTTAAAGTTCAAAGTTAGTAGAATAAATTCTTTTGGATTAACTTCTAACAAACAGGTTCATGCATACTGTACTTTTATTCCAAAGCCTTGCCGACTTAGAAAGAAAAGAAAAATAAATAAATAAATAAAGGTCAAAGTTTATAAATGTGAACAAATAAAATTAAGTATTATGGTTTTGGAAGATTTTGTTATCAATGTACTATAAAAGGAAAGTAAGTATGACAAAATCAGTTTTAATGGGAGCCCATGTTCATGCATGTTCTGTTGTCTCTCAATAAAACTGATCTCTTAGGGAAAACTGAGTTGATTCTGTCTTATACCTTTGAGAATGTTCTCTTTTTTCTCTGTTTTTTTTCCCTTTTTTTTTTTTTTTTTTCTTTTTCATACACCCGTACACAATTATTATGCTGATTTTTTGCTTAGCTTGTTGTGTTTTGTCTCTGTCTTTCTAATGCAATTTTGTATTGGCAAACTTTCAACTGTTTTTGCGAAGATTGGGCAGTTTTGAGATGATGATTTCACCAGCCTGATGCCTACATCCTAACTACTGCAGCACAAGGCTGAACACAAATTATAAAATAATTGCTGCATGGTTAAATCATTATAATCTTGATTAATTAAGTAAACCCAAAAACATGAATATGTAACACATGTGAGTGATGAGTGAAGTAGCTGAATAGGACAAGTTAGATGCAATATATATATATATATATATATATATAATATTTAATATTAGACACTGATATGGCTTGGAATTTAAAGTTATGACTCTTGGTCTAGTTCAAGAGAGTAATGATCATCAAGCCATTTTATAATTGAAGAATGGGACATATGAATTAATTTATCTACTTAAATCCAGAACTGCCAACTCAATGGGGAGCGAAATCATGCATAAATAAAGGGGTAATAAACGTATTATATTAATTATGGGTCAACATCATTTAGGACTAAGAACAGGCTCTTTAAGCTATAATCATTTACCAAGGTGTGAAATTTAGGCATCGTTCATTTCACCGATTTGAGTTTTCAGTTTTAGATTTTTATAGTTAAAAGCTCTCAGAAAATGTCATATTTAATTTTTTCTGCTACAGTTAAAAGCTCTCAAAAAATGTCATATATCAGCTCGAATTGAGAACTCGAATCCGCGAAGCGAACGAGCCCTTAGAAGTTAGAACTAGAAGCACTTGAGAAGCATTTGAGTTTTTGTTTTTGTTTTTTGTGTTTTTTGACGGTTTTTACTTTCATATCTAAATGAAAAAAAAAAAAAAAAGAATTCTTTGGTTAGGTAAGAAAGAAAACCCCTATCGATAGGCACAATTTTAACGTCAGGTTTTCATAAAGTTTCATTGAATTATCATGTATATATTTTAACGTCAATTTGATGTTTTAGAATTATATCTTACTAGTAGTTTTATTTTTTTTTAACATACTCTAATCACATAATTCTGAAGAAAAAAAATGAAGGTTTAGAGCAGTTCTGATCATATCTCAACAATTTCCCACTTTGCTATGGATTTTCGCTCAGATTCATGGTCCCAATGTTCAATCCACTTTTATAAAGAGCAAAAAGCCATGCACATAATTTTTTTTTTTTTGAAAAAAAAAAAAATTTACCTGGCACAGAGAAATTCAAGAAATAGAAGAGTAGGGGATCTGTATTATTACCACTATTCGATAAGATTAATTGGGTCCAAAAGTTCACATGAACGCAAAAGAAAGACAAAAGAAAAAGAATGTCCCAAAACATCATGATTACCTCGAGCAATTGCCAAAAAATTTACACGGTGTTCGACAAAATCACTACAACACCGGAACATCAGAACATGAGAAAAGAAGACAATACATATTATTTAAATAATTTTATGAAATTCCACAGCAAAGTAAGTAGCCCAAACAGATAAAATCAAACGACCCCTGAGGCATCACGTTTGTCCTCGAATAAGTTTGGGGAAATATATCCAAATTTCCATGGCAGAAAACAAAAATATCACAGAAGTTTTCTCATGGTAAGGAAATCTCAAGCAATTCCATCCACTACAACTCTGAGTGGTGGTGAATTTTTAAACATTTTGGTAAAGATACATCCCTTTCACTGAAAATTGAACTATATTGTATATATATGGCAATTACAAAGCCGATATGTTTGTGAAGATATGTATATATGTATATATACACACTAATATACATATGTGTATAAATATATATATATATATATATACATATATATTTCTTAGACAAGGGTCCCCGGTGATGTCGGAGAAAGACATGGACATGAACTGAGGTGTTTATGTGACAAAAGCCAGAAAAGGAGAGTGACTGAAACCAATTGGTCCCCCCTAATGTCCCCCTTAAACGACAACAACTAATTGCAAGAGAATCCAAGCCTACATTAATGCTGTTTTAATCCTTTTAAAAAGAATGTTCTTTATCAATAGAGAAAGAAAGAGAGAAAAGTTTGGTCATATTATTGGGGTAATAAATGGACGTCCGGAGAGAGATATGGGGGCAAAAACAAGTACTACTATGCACTCACGGATGGATTCCATATGATGAAAGATTGGTTCACTTCTGTTTGCTGATAAGAGTAAAAATTGAAAGTTTGTTAGGTGAAATATTATTGTAAACCAAATAATAACTAGGTTGTTGATCATAGTGATCAAGGTTGTAACGGCCAAGCAACGATCCTTTAGTAAGGTATGTTAGGTCTGTTTTCACGCAGGTGCTACAACACTTTTAGTAACACCTGCAATTAATTATCACGTTCAGAGATAATCAGTGGATAATGAATTGAAAACGTGTATAAACAAAAAATAGTACAGAAAAGAACGAAAGATAACAAAAAATGATATCGCAGTTCGGTGCGCACACCTACATCTGCAGGACCATGCCCAGATAGTGAATAATCCACTAAGTTTAAAGAATTACAATCACCAATCGGTCTTACACACTCAAAGACTCCCTCCTTGATGTCGTCGCCGTTGTGTAGAATCCTCTTAGTGGCTTTGTCTAGCGAGTGCCACTCGACTTCGAAAGCTTTCTCCCGAAAGCGATACAAGTTTCTTCCAAAGCCAAATCGTTCAATAACCAATTAAGCATCACAGAAATACTACTTTTCTGCAGGCTCTATTCTCCTCAAAACCATCCACGCTCATCACACTATCACCCCACTGAATGCACAAAATCAGCCACCCTCACTGCTTCTTTCCTTTTCCCACGATGACCACATATACAACCAATTACATTTCTAAAATAATACTTTCCAAAAAATAGAACTAATCACATAACCAAAGTCAACTTTCTGGAATTACATTCCCAAAAAGCTTGCCTTATTCTATAGAAAGAATCAACCCAAGAGATGTCAAACATTCCAAATCTAGTGCAAAAATCCCGAGATAGAATCTCTATAGTTGTTACAACTTTTTACCAAAAATTACCAACAACCAAAAGTCCTAACAAGGTATAAAGTTGTTCCTTCTCTTGAACAAGATTTGGAATTTAAATTGTTTCTCCCATTATTTAGGTACGCTATTCCCTACTCTTATAACGTTTACAGCGGACAATTTTTTGAGTTCAATGAGTTCTTTTTGCTTAGGAGAAGCATGAATAAAAGGGTGGTTATTAGTACAACTGCTTCCATAAAGCACTAGTTTATTTATTTATTTTGGTAAAATATTTATTTATTTTATTTTTCAAAGAAAGGTCTTTTATACCTTCTTGCTGCAGCAACTTTTTTAACTTTTAAATTTTCCATGCATCGTCTCTGTCTTTCTCTCTCTAAGCCAAGAAATGATTATGGATATGTGATATCATATAACTAGATAAAGCCGTTAATTAGCTTTTGATTAATTAGTTTTGGCTTTAGTGTTACGTGTGGAATAATTAGGTTGATGTTCATGTACCTAAAAAAAGAAAAGAAAAGAAAAGGAAAAAAAAAAGAAAAGTTTTGATTTCATACCTATTCAGTAAGGACAATATGATTAAAAGAATGCACTTTTTTTGCTTGTACATCAAAAGAATGCACTCAACAATACATTAAAAGAATGCACTTATTAGTTGAGTTATAAGTGATGTCTCCTGAAAAGGAACGAGAGTTCATGGAAAAATGATGGTGTTAGCTAATTTTGTGTAGTTTATGAATAAAAGAAAATCAATTTAATTCATAAATTTGGTGATCGAGAAGCTTCTGGATTTATTATGCTTCATGCTTGGATGATTTACGAGACATTACTCTTTCTTTTTTCTTTCCCTGGTGTTTTGGACAAATAGTACAAGGCCCGTTTGATTTCCATCCCTAAACTAATTTTATACAAAATTTAAAAATAAATAAAACAAAAACACTTAGGGAAAATTAGTTTAAGGGTATTATTTGGAGATCAACTAAAATGAAAACAACATTTTATGATGCGGTGAAGGTTTTCATCGGCCTATTGGTATTTGAACGTCTTTATTAAGAGCTTGTTTGGTACATGGAGAGTGAAATGAGAGATATGGATGAGAATCATGAAATTAGTGGAAGAATTTTGCTTGTTTAGTAGGAGAGAGAAAAAAAAAAGACTCAGAAATGATTGACAAAAGGACTTTAAGATCTCATTTAATTTGTTTATTCGAATTGTGTTGATTTGGATTTTTTTTGTTTGACTGTTTAAATTGAAATCTGAACTGATGTTTAGATGTGCAGTTAAAATGTAAATCTGAACAGAGAAGAAAATTTAAATTTCCGTTCGGATAGGTGTGAATAACATAGATGATGATCAACATATTTGTACTTTTTAAAAATGATTTAAAAAGTTGAAATGGATGGGAGCTAATTTCTGAGTTGGATAGTTCAAACTCAGTTTAAACGGAAAAAAATCGGAATTGGGTGCTTACCAAAGGTGGATAACTTGTGTTAAAAAAAATCCTAATTTCAATCCTTCTCAATGTGGAGAGATTAAACGAAGAAAATCGTACCAAACCCAATAAGAGAATGACCCTCCTATTTCTCCTTATTTTCCTCGTGTATCATTCTGTTCTTCCTCTTTTATTTCCCTCAGAAACATAGCTTGTCTTGGCCCAACAGTGTTACAGATAGGTCCAATAAAGAAGCCAGTCTATTCTCAACTCTAATATTTACCCTTCACTCTGAATTAATATCATTTTCCCTTAAGTAATTATATTAGTTAAAAATGTATTATTCAAAAGTAAAGAGTAATAATTCAGACTCATACATTTTAAAAGTAAGTTCAACAATCCTCTCATAATATTAACATGTATAAAACATTCTTCGTATTTGGAGTATAGTTTGATTTGAACAAATTCTTTATACCAATTTATACATAATATGCGTTTAGTAATATATAAAACCGGCCCTTTCTCTTAGTTTCTTTTCGTTTTTTTAATGCTTGCGCCTCCCAAAAACAAGAAGGAATAGTAATACGCAGTGTTTCGTGAATAATTTATTTTTTTAATAAATTCGCATTTTGGCTTGCACTAGTAATTTTTCCCTGAACTACTGAAGGTTGTGCAAACGGAATTAATGCACACAATCTAAAAATATGACCATAACATAGCTAAATGAAAAAGGGAGGAAAAAAAGAAAGAAAAAGGAATGGTAGGATCACTATTAATGCAATTATAAGGCCTCGTTCATTTCACCGATTCGAGTTATCAGTTTTAAGTTTTTACAGTAAAAAGCTCTAAAAAAATGTCACATCAACTTTTTGTGCTACAGTGAAAATCTCTTAAAAAATGTAACATCTCAGCTCGAATTAAAAACTCGAATCTGCAAAGTGAACGAGGCCGTAAAGGCAAACCTTCCACAACCAACTCCTTTTATAACTATACCATTAATCAATATTGTTTTGTAGTTATTATTAATATGACTTCTTATTATCCTTATAGTTTGATGATGATATATTTATAGAACACAATGGAACAAGTATCAAACACTCATTCGAAGTGGTCTTCGTGTTGAAGATAAGATGATTACAATACAAGGGAAGACTTTTTACGAGTGAAATCAATAATTACAAGGTGGGCGCTGCCCAATGTCAAAGCTTTAGATAATAATATGCCTTAAATATACGAAGGTCCCCCACATTCATATTCAAGAATCAAGAGCCTAAATTTCAACAGGGTTAGTTCCTTTTGGCTCATAAGAAATAAACATTTCATTTTCAAAAAAAAAAAAAAAGGATAACATTTTGAAAATAATTGTAAGATTAGCATCTCTCTCTCTCTCTCTCTCCCTCCTTCTCCCTCTCTCTCACTCTCTCTCTCTCCTTCTCTCTCTCTCTCTCTTACTCTCTCTCTCTCTCAGTCTCTCTCCCTCTCTCTCTCTCTCACTCTCTCTCATGTTTTCTGTCGTCACTCTTACAAGGTCAAGAGATAAACTCCAAGATCTACGCTTTATGGCCCATATAACGTCCTTCTCGCTCATGCATAGACAAAACAAATTTTCTAGCAGCGATCAGATATATCATTAACCTTTTAAGCCCCAAATATCAGCACGTAACCATGTTGTTCATGGTGATCAATAACCACTAAATCAAACAATAAACGGAATATAAAAAAAAAAAAAAAAACGCAAACTTGATCCCACGTTGTATAAAAAAAAAATTTATTTTCCGAGTCATAAAATACAACTTGCCTATGTTTTTGCAATTTGCATCATTGATCAGATTATCAAAGAGAGAGCACACAAACTAAGAACCTACATGAAGGGCTCGTTTAGTTTGCTGATTCGAATTTTTAATTCGAGTTGAGATGTGATTTTATGTGAGAGTTTTTTACTGTAGTAAAAAAGTTAGATGTAATTATTTGTGAGAGCTTTTTACTATAATAAAATTTAAATTTTAAACTCAAATCAACGAAATGAACAGAATCAAAGTAGTCACCGTCATCTATGAACTAGATATTCCTCCATTCAACGAAGAAGTACAAAAAAGCTCAAAACCCTTTACGGCTTTCCAAATTGCAAGTATGAAAATGAGAATTGTGATCTCATGCAAATAATTACGAGTACGTGTCAGTAGGCTTTACGAACATTTGAAAGCCCACTAAGAATTTAACACGTTTCAAATATATCCGATTTTGTGACCCTCCAAAGTCCGAGCCGACCATTTGTTTCGGCCGTATTTTTTTCAAAGTTTAGCTCACCCACCAATGCGTACGTGTCATCAATACGTTCAATTTGAAATCTCTCACCCATTTAGAACCTCTTAAATAAACTCTCACTTCCCATAAATATTTGAAAGTTTCTTTAGAATAACACACTGGCCAGTTTAACTTTAGTTGATGATCAAATGGCCAACATTGTTTCCTTGCTTTGCCTCTTGGCCATAACTCTTGTTGTTTTTGATCATCATGGTCGCATCATGGCTAGCCAGATTGATCTGGGTTCGAGGTTGTTGGCTAAGGAGAACAAAGCATGGGTCTCGGAGAATGGCACCTTTGCTTTTGGATTCACTTCGATTAAGGATGAAGATGACAAACTTCAACTGGCGATTTGGTTTGCTAACCTTCCTGGAGACCGAACAACAGTATGGTCACCTAACAGGTACTTCTCTCTAATTTACATATGAGACCGTTTGGTTAGAGGATTCGTTATCTGATTCGAATCATGGTTCATGGTTCGTTACAGTATTTTCTCTCACAAAAAACACACGTAAATTGAAAATAATTCTAATCTCATGGTTCTAATTCATAAACCAAACGGTCTCGAATCATCTTTGTAGTAAAACCGGTATAATATATATGCATGATTTTAGTTTCCCAAGTTATGCATGCAACTAGCGCAATTGCACATACAAATTAATAATGGAAGAACGTTTTTTTTTTGTTTGGTATTCTTTCATATTCTTAATACCTATTTTCCCTTTTTGCTTTTACATTCACGACCCTATTGCTATTGCTAGTTAATTAGTCCTTTTACATGATCAGCCAACTATAGATTTACATATATTATCGGATGTCCCCGAAGGGACCATTATACATATATTATGTGTGTATATATGTACGTAATATGTGTTACTTTCTGTGTGTACATTATATGTTATGTTGTTCACGAAAAAATTTAGACGAGAAATAGGTTAGCCCCAAAGTCACATATTCCAGCTTAATAAACTGTAGAGTTCGAATTCACCATCCAAATTATATAAAAAAAAAAAAGAAAAAAAAAAGAAAGTGTAATTATTACTTCCGGAAACAAACTGAGAAGAAGATTGCAGATTCGCTCTGCAGCTGTTTGGGCATATACAGTGCCCGTTTAGTTTATTGATTCGAGTTTTTAATTCGAATTGAGATGTGACTTTATGAGAGAATTTTTTACTATAATAAAAAAATTAAATGTGACTGTTTTTTAGAGTTTTTTACTATAATAAAATTCAAATTGGTGAAACAAAGGGGCATAATTACTCACTTCTCTTTTTCTTTTTTTTAGTTGAATATATATATATATATTGATTGAAGCTGAATATATACTAGTTACTTCTAAGTATTATTGCACAAGAAGAAAAAAAAATAAAAAATAGATGGGCAAATTATTGGTTTCTAAATTAGACGAGAGATAAACAAAACCAAATTCCCCATCTCGTCTTTACAAAAGCTTTTGCAGGTGTTATAATATGACCATGATCAGTACTACTACTACTACTTATAAAAAGCCAACAAATTTCACTTTCTTCTCAATGACCATTCATCCTGTAGAAACTCTCCAGTCACCAACAACGCAATCTTGGAGCTCGACACCACCGGAAACCTCGTCCTCTTCGACGGTGGCGACACCGTTATCTGGGTCTCGAACACGTCCCGCGCCGGGGTGCAATCCGCCGGCATGTCGGAATCCGGCAACCTCATTCTCTACAACGACGTAAACCAACCTGTGTGGCAAAGTTTCCACCACCCATCAGACACTCTCCTCCCAAACCAACCTCTATCAGTCTCTCTTGAACTAACGACACCAAAATCACCCTTGGGAGGCAGTTACTACGCGCTCAAAATGCTTCAACAACCAACTTCTCTAAGCCTTGCTTTGACGTACAATTTGCCTGAGAGTTACAACGCCAATCCAGAATCATACGCCAACTATTCGTATTGGCAAGGACCCGACATATCGAACGTAACCGGGGACGTCGTGGCGGTTTTGAACGAAGCCGGAAGTTTCGGAATTGTGTATGGAGAATCATCGGACGGAGCAGTTTATGTGTACAAGAATGATGGTGACTATGGCGGCCTGTCTTCAGCCTCGAATCGGTCTACTCGGTTATCGGTTTTTCGACGGCTAATATTGGAGAGTAATGGCAATTTGCGCTTGTATAGATGGGACGACGACGTCAATGGATCGCGCCAATGGGTTCCGGAGTGGGCAGCAGTTTCGAAACCTTGCGACATTGCTGGGATTTGCGGAAACGGGATATGCAATTTGGACAGAAGTCAGACAAATGCATCTTGCACTTGCTTGCCGGGGACTTCTAAGGTGGGAAAAGATAGTCAGTGTTCGGAGAATTCTTCGTTGATCGGGAAATGCGATTCGAGACAGGATTATCAGAAATCACAGTTCAAGATATCGACTGTTAAGCAAACCAATTACTATTACTCTGATTTTTCTGTTATAAATAACTATAGCGATATTCGGAATGTTTCAAAATGCGGTGACGCTTGTTTATCTGATTGCGAGTGTATTGCCTCTGTTTATGGATTTGATGATGAGAAGCCTTATTGTTGGGTTTTGAGGAGCTTGGATTTTGGTGGGTACGAGGATACTGGATCTACACTGTTTGTGAAGGTTAGATCGGACGGTAGGGTGACGCCGGAAGGAGGAGGATCTGGGGATTCTGAAGAAGGTTCTGGAAATGGGAAAGAAAAGATTTTGGTTATTCCCATTGTTCTCAGCATGACTTTTCTTATTGCTCTCCTCTGTCTGTTGTTGTACTACAATGTGCATAGGAAAAGGTCCTTGAAAAGAGCCATGGAGAGTTCTTTGATCTTGTCCGGTACTCCGATCAATTTCAGTTACCGTGATTTGCAAATTCGAACATGGAATTTCTCGCAGGTTCTCGGAACCGGTAAGCATAATACTAATAACCTTTTTATTAATATATACCTTTTTATTAATATATATATATATATATATATATATTAATATGCTCTGCTGATAAGGTAATGCTGATTTGCAGGAGGATTTGGGACTGTGTATAAGGGAAGCCTTGCAGATGGGACTTTAATAGCAGTAAAGAAACTTGACAAGGTTTTGCCACAAGGTGAAAAGGAGTTCATAACTGAAGTCAACACCATTGGCTCAATGCACCACATGAACTTGGTTAGGCTTTGTGGATACTGCTCTGAAGGACAACATAGGTAAGTAACATTTTTATGATCACTCATTTTCATGACATTAGTACAATATATTCTAAAGCTTGTGATTGATTTGAATTTTTATACAAAGCTAGAGTAAAAGCATATATTGTACTTATTTTGGTTGTGAATTTGATTGTTTGCAGGCTTCTAGTTTACGAGTTCATGAAAAATGGTTCCTTGGACAAATGGATCTTCCCCTCTTATCATGCCCGAGATAGGCTGCTAGATTGGAAAACTCGCTTCCACATAGCGGTGGCTACTGCACAGGGGATTTCGTATTTTCACGAGCAATGTCGGGATCGAATTATACACTGCGACATCAAACCAGAAAACATCCTGTTGGATGAGAATTTTTCGCCTAAAGTCTCCGATTTTGGGCTGGCTAAGTTGATGGGCAGAGAGCACTCAAAAGTTTTCACAATGGTGAGAGGAACTAGAGGCTATTTAGCTCCGGAGTGGGTTACTAATCGGCCTATAACTGTAAAAGCCGATGTTTACAGTTACGGAATGCTCCTTTTGGAGATTGTTGGTGGTCGGAGGAACCTTGACATGTCTTATGATGCAGAGAACTTTTTCTATCCTGGATTGGCTTTTAAGGTAAGTAAACCATAGTTCAATCTCTCTTTTTCTCTTTTCCTATTGTCCTCTTAATTCTAAACATGATTGGATTATTTATCAAGTGATCAAATTGGGAATTTTGTGTAGGAGTTGACAAATGGAATGCCATTAGAAGCCGGGGATAGGAGACTAGAAGGCGCAGTGGAAGAGGAAGAACTCATAAGAGCATTGAAAGTGGCATTTTGGTGCATACAAGATGAGGTTATCATGAGACCTACAATGGGGGATGTGGTGAGGATGTTGGAAGGATCAATGGACGCCAACATGCCGCCGATCCCGCAGACAGTTTTGGAGCTGGTTGAGGAAGGCTTAGATCATGTGTACAAAGCCATGAAGAGAGAACTCAATAATTTCAGCTCCTTCACCATCACCAGCCACCCTTCTTCTCGTGCTACGTGTAGTTACTCCACAATGTCCCCTAGATAATCAAAATTTGATTGTCAAAGAAAAAAAATTTTGATTTTTGAACAATGCCATCTTGAAGGTGTCCGCAAGCCTAAATTTTGTAAATGCAAATCTTGGTTTTGCATTCTCTTTCAATGTGATAAAATCGTTCTATACTTGATATTAAACACAACTATAGAAGTGCGGCTTTAGATTTCAGATTCCATCATTCTTTATAATATAGCTTTGCTAAAACTCAAACCTTGCCAAAGGCACCTTGGGTGGACAGAAGCAAAAACTCCAAATAAGATAATTTTTATCATCATGCCACCATCACTCATATTTAGTAGAATCCTTAATGACTGATAAAACTTGTGAGATGAAATCCCCTACAGGCAGGAACACTGGTCATAGCCGCTTAAGAACGGGAGCTCAGTCTAAGCCTTCTTTACACTCTTGCCCCGTGTATAAAAAGAAACGTAATCATTAAAAACTCGTACATATACATATATAATTTTTAATTTGACTTTGCCAAATTTTATAATCACAATATCTGCATAATATTTTAAAAAAAAATTTAAATATATTCCAAGTTTAACTCTTCAACATACTCATATTCTAAACTTAAATTTTCTAGCAAACAGAAACCATTTGTACAACTATATAAATTCATAACTTTTAAGAATCAGAACTAGGGAAGACACACCATTTATTAATAGGTTTTTAACACATTTGTCTCTTAAACTTATCGTGATTTAACAAATTGCTTCTTAAATTTTTAATTTTGACAAGTTGTCCCGTGAACTTGTAAATTTGTTACAATGTGCCTATTTTGATGACGGTTGTATTAAATTAGTGTCAAAAAAACACGTTTAGCTAAAAATTTTAACATTCCAATTCAAATGTAATACAAATCTTTTAATATCTCAATTTTTAATCCCTTAAATCTAATAAAAAATTTGAACAAATTTAGTTATATGGGGCACATTGTAATAAATTTATAAGTTTAGAGGAGTAATTATCAAAATTAAAAGGTTAGGGGACAATTTGTTAAACCATGGTAAGTTTAGGGGGTAATTGTGCTAAAAACTCTTTATTAATTGGGGAGTTTTGTCGCATATTTCTCAATTCAAAGGGTTAATTGTAAAAACAAAAAACATTGAAGGGCACATTGCCAATAAATAACAAATTCAGGGGCACCCGATGCAAATAAACCTTTCTTTTACTCCACGCCGGTTTCTCCCGCAAACCGAGAGCTCTCGCTCTTCCGTGAAAAGACATCAGAACCTCCCTTCAGCAATTCCGTCAGGTAAAATCCGCTATAAAAGCCCTCGAAATCTGAATTTCCCAAACCCTAGATCTCTCAAAACGCCTTCCTAATTCTCTGGAAATATATTCACATGAACAAATTTTGGATTCTGCGTTGTGAGAATTTTCAATTTGTTCTTCTATAACCCTAGGAAATGTTGGAACGATTCGTTATTATAATCCCATAAGGAACTGAATCCCCAAGCAACGAAAATGGAGAATCTGCAGTACGCCGAGGAGCTGGTGAGGGAATTCCTCGTCTTCAGAGGATTTACCAACACTTTGCAAGCTTTTGACTCCGAACTATCGACGGATATCGGAAAAGCGTTTCAAGTAGACAAGATCATAGATTTGATTTTCTCGGTGTATGTTCCTAAGTTTCAAGCCGAAAAGTTGGTCGTTCTTCTGAATTTCTTCAAGCGTTGTCTATCTTCGTCTTCCGACTTTCAAGCCGAAAAGTTGGTCGTTCTTCTGAATTTCTTCAAGCGTTGTCTTTCTTCGTCGTCCGAGAGAGTATTTATCGACACTTTGTGTAAATTGGAGGTTTCCATTTTGCGGTACTACATTGTTTATGCTGTGCAATCTGGGAGGAAGGACAAAGTTGTGGAGTTTTATGGGATGAATGGGGATGAGATGATGCAAAGGAACCAGGATTGGACTCCATGGTTTGGTGGGTTCTTTTTAACCAAAAAAAAAAAAAAAACACTTTTTCTAGTTTGTTTTATGATGTTATGATTTCTATTGATTTATGGTATTGGGAATGTGATGCAGCTATTCCATATGTGAAGAATCCGAGCTCGGATCCCAAATTTCGAACTTATTTCTCAAGGGAATGGTTTGATGCCTTGCATCTTTCTGTGAGGAATTTCTTCAGTGCAATCTTCAATGGCACTCATATCCTTTTATAATTAGTTTTATATAAGAATTTGTTTTCTTAGAGAAGAAGTACTTTTTGTTATTAGTTATTTGTTGCCATCCCACTCAATTTCTAAATGCTTTACGAAATAGCTGCCAGACCGCAGGAACCAGTTCTAGTTAAGTGGACTGTTTTTTCTATTATGTAAGCCTGAAATTTATTGGTTAAAATTAGAAACCTTTTATTTTTCTATCAATGATTGTCACTGGAAGAAGTTGGTTCTTCCCCTCTTACGACAGTGTATTACCGAATGAGATTTGAGGAACACATCCTTGACTAAACCACGCATCCCTGCCCTATTGAAGATCAGTTCTGAGAAGATTGCTGTCAACCGTCTAAAGAAAGACATCAAGCAACTTAATCTTAAGTTATCTGAACTTCAGGCTTTGTTGGAGGAAAAGGAGGCTCAGTTAAGCCAGCTAAGGAGGTATATATACTTGTTGCATTTGTTTTCTGCCCTTGGGACTAAATTTTTGTATATATAGCTGATTTGATTGTCCTTGGCTTGATTTTGGAACTCAGTAACGTTTCATCATTCACTGATGCAAACATTGAAAAAGCCCAGAGTTCATTAGGTGTCGTGTATGAGGAAAATCTTCGTATATCCAAAGACACTCGGGAAATCTGTTCTTCTGACACTCTGCAGGTCGGTGAAACCGAGCTAAACAGAGAATGGGCTGTTGCTGCTTCAGTTGGAAATCAAGTAGACATTTCCATGTCAAAGTCTGGTTACAGTTTAAGTTCTTCATCAAGTCCAAGGGATGGTGGCATTTCTGATAGCAGTCCACTGTTGGACAGCTCCCACGATGGTATATATTGTTCTATAATTTTCCCTTTGCTTGTTGAGGATGGTTCACTACCTACTGCCATCACATTTGGACAAGCTTATTTTTAATAGACACACTGAGAGTTGACGGAGGGTTGGCTCAAACATTTTGTCTTAAAGTATCATTAAACATTGCAACATAGGTAGAGATAGGGCTAGGTTTGTGAACCTTTTAAGAGCTTATTGATTCAATAACAGTTGAATCTTTTTTGTGGCAGAAAATGGCAGGGAAAGCCATGTAGAAGAATTACATGAAGTTAAAGTTGACTTTCAGGTAAATGGTTCATAAGAGCATAACTGAATTTTGATGTTTCAATCTCACATTCGGTCCATTGTATTTGTGGCTTTTTTTAAGGTTGGAGGATTCATTAGCTATAATTTGCTAGTTTTTTCTTTATTGGAGTTTACATGACTTATTGGAGAACATGATTTGTAGGAGACATTTCTGGGTCACACCAGTCCAATCAGTCGTTGCCACTTTTCTGCCTCAGGGAACAACATAGCCAGTGCTTCTGTGGATGGCACTGTCAGGTACTTTTTGTTAAAGTTTAGGAATGGAGATAAGATGGCAGAATTAGGTGATAGACTGAGAAGTTCTACCGCTTTCATATGTTTATTATGTGGAAAATCCATATGCTTGGTTGGCGCAAATTATGTTCTAGATATATGCGTATCTGTTCTACATTGGAAACCATGTTTGTTATATGCATGGAAGGGAAGGCCCAGGTCTTCCACGGTGTTTGACATCTTCTTCCTTTTTGTGCAACACAGAATATGGACATATGACTCATCAACTTCAGCATCTAGAAACGCAACCATTTATTGTGGAGCAGAGATCATGTCACTTGACTGGGAGTGTAAATCTGACAGATTGGTATGTAAATTGGATTTCATGGTGAACAGATTTGCGCTTACATCAGAGTCATGATTTTACCATTTGGGAGTGAAAATGCCTGCTTTTAAGTGTTGTGGTTCTTCATCACAAAAGCTTCTCATAGGCACTGCTGACGGAGGCATTAAAGCATGGAATGTTGATGCAAAGAGAGTTGTTTGTGATCTCAACACAACTGAAGCATTTCCGAGGTTCTTCTTGATATTTTGGTATTTACTCCCGCATTTGTTTTTCTCAAATGTTGACTCTGCTTACTTTCCCTCCATTTTCTGCTGCAGTGTTTTGGACATAAAGTGCAGCCCCGTAGAACCAATTTTTGTTTCTGCAGCAGCATCCAGGGGGTATGTTTTCGGTTTTCCCAGTCTCGTCCTTTTGCAAATCAAGTTATAATCTCCGTGTCTATTATTATTTTTTGCAAGGGTATGAGAAATTAAGACTGTTTTATTGTAGGCGTGGCTCATGGCGTTACACAGATAATTTGGGGTTTGCTTCATTAACTGTGTGGAACATGAAGACATGGAAGCCTATGGTATGCTTATGAGTGACCAATAACAATCTATACAATTGCAGTTGTGATTTTGTACTATTTGCCTTATAATCTTGTGGCTTTCATGAAGACAGTCCTTCCTCTTGGTAAAGACCCACCTGCCATCACTTCCCTAAGTTTCAATCACAACGGAAAAATTTTAGCAGCCGCAGCAACTGATGGGATGATTCACATGTTTGGTATCCTTGTGGATTATTTTTGAGGTCCTTCATGATTCGTAAAACCATGATTTTGTCATTTTGGTATATATTTTTTTTTGTGGAATTCTAAATATGAGTACATACAAGGCACCTGAATTAGTTGTGTCCATGATTCTGGGATAGAGTCACAAACCTTAACTAGGAAAAGACATGTCAGCGGGCCTTCAAATTACTGGATGGCCTGCACATGATTCTGCCATAAGCTCAATTCTTTTTGGGCCAGATGAGACCAGCATTTTCAGTTTGGGAACAGATGGAAAGGCTAGTATCTCTGAACTCTTTTTGGCTTAAATTTAATAATTGCAGTGAGTTTTCGAGATTAATGGTTATATTAATTGTGCAATCTTCACTAACCTCATAGTATTCACTTTTTCATGCCAGATTTTGGAATGGAGCTTGCAAAATCAAGGTCGAGTCCTTTGGTCGAGAAATTGCAGCAGGTACTTGCATATCAATTACTAGATATTACTTATGCACAAGAACCGCCAAATAAACTGTTAATTACTAATATGGAACGCGCTTGGTGTTTTATGTAACAACTCTGTTCTGTAATATAGGTTCTGTGACCCTGAGAGCTCAAAACATTGCAGACACGAAATGGCGTTAGATGCTAATGGGAAGAGGCTGTTGGTAACATCTGGTTCAGTAAGAGCACCCATATATCAGGTTGATCTCTCCATCATCCCTGCCTCTCTCTCTCTCTCCCTCTCCCCAATAGTGGTGTCGATGTTTGGAAACTTAACTGCCTTTTCTTTTACCCATATATCAGGTTGATCTCTCCATCATCCCTGCCTCTCTCTCTCTCTCTCTCTCTCCCTCTCCCCAATAGTGGTGTCGATGTTTGGAAACTTAACTGCCTTTTCTTTTATTTTTTTTTAAAGACTGAAAAGTTTTATCATGAATAAATGAGATATGAATGCGTATGTAAAACTAAATTTCTATTTTATTTCAGTTTCTTACCCCCTAACACGTTATATACATACATATATATATATATATATTCATGATGTGCCGCTTTTGTTTTTTTCTTGGAGATTTTGGTTGTGGGTTTCATCATAACTTTTTATCATTATCATTAATTTTGGCTCAGGTTCGAGGTAACAATGGGTTGAAAACTCTTGCGCACACTGCTGCTATAACTACGGTCGATTGGCACCCGACCTTGCCCATTTTCTTGACTGGATCGGCTGATAACTCTGTCCGAGTAACTTCTATTTTATAAAGGTTTGTCATGTTATATATCTGTCTTTGTTTATGCCTCCTTGGTCTTCTTTGAGGTTTAATGGGGCGGACGTGGACTTAAACTTGAGTTCGTTTCAACAAAATTTCACTTTGTTATGCCTTCATGGGTCTTGTTTTATTTTTTGTTTATTTAGATTGTGTTTGGTATGAGGACCATGATTTATGGTTTGAACTTCCGGTTCCAAACCATATAACCAAAAGTTTGAACCATCTAAAATCAAGGGGGGAGGTGGTTCTATTTTTTGGGGTGGTTTTGGTTTAAAAGGAATCAAACCTTGAACCAGAACCATCTAAACCAAACACTGATTTTTAAGAACCATTTTTAACTTTTTGCAAACAAATAAAGGTTTAAACCAAAATTATAGTTCCGGTTCTAAAACTCTCATACCAAACGTGACCTTATTCTTTTGTTGTGATTGTTTAAATAGTTCGTTTCATAAGCATGAGCCATCCATTGATGTGGAAAAAAAGCCCCCATTTTTGTGCTTCTTCTTCTTTTTTTTTTTTTTTTTTTTTTTTTTTTTTTTTTG